TCAGCAGGAGCTTGGAGAGCACAGCTTCCCTAGATGATAACTCATGGCATCAGCCCCAGCATGAAGCCAGGAGAGTTCAAGCCAGATTTAACAAACACACGACAAAACAGAAAGAAAAATGGAGAAAAAGGTGGTGAATCCCTGCTCCAGAAAACAGCCTGTGGAAGCTATTTTGTTTGGCCAGCTTTTGTCTGACTTCCAAACTATTTCAGAGGTGGAAAAGCAAACAAAGGGGTGGAAAGAACCTTCCTCTGGAGCAACTCGGCCAGAACGAAACTCGGCTGAATTGACTCGAACTCGTCGGGAAAAGGGGGGGAGAAAAAAAGCTGTCAGAAAGTCAAGTGACCATTACATCATGAAACATAATAAATAAATGAATGAATGAATGAAGACAACATCCTGCAAGGTCATTAAGACAAAACGCCTGGAGCTAAATGACACGGCAGAGCTTCAATAAAACCACGGCCCTTTGTTGATGCGCTTTGCTACCGAAAGGATCCGATGGCAAAGTTCACTTCTGACCACTGATTTCTAAAGCTGCTGCAGACCCCTCGGAGACCAGAGCTTGCCAAGGGTGAAACCTTCCACGTTTTTACACTTTGCAGGGCTTGTCTGACCTGTGGGTTCATCTTCACTCTAACGGGAAGCGACAGTTGCCGACGAGACCCCGGCGCCGCTGCCCCGCACGTCTCTCTCTGGGCTGACTGACCACAAAGCCCTTCTGCTCATACATCCTCAGTGGCCTCCCTGGCTCCAGCTTGATAAAATTCAGCTTTTCATCTAGTTAGATGGAGGAAAGATGCTTGACTTCCTTTTTTATTTTGTCCACAGCCATGGATTCCTATGGGTACGTGTGTCTACGGGCTCATCAGTAATTATGGCCAGAGTTAAATCTACCAATTAATGTTCCTTTCTCTCAAGCACTCACCAGAATAAGATTTTGCTCAATTGCCTTTACAAAACTTTTGCTGGAATGGCCCACACCAGGTGTCTGCCCTGGGCTTCTTTCTCTGTGTTATTTTACTCATGTTTTTATTGATTTATTAGGATATTGCTCTATTTCCTTTCATTTTACAAAACGTTGAGCTGAAATGTTCACCAGGTGTCTATTCTGAGCTACTTTTAGTTGATTCTTTCACTTATTGATTCTTTTACTTATTGATTCTTTTACTTATTGATTCTTTTACTTATGGATGGAGATTTTTCTCAACTGCTCTTCATTTTACACAACTTTGGGCTGAAATGTTGCTCACCAGGTGTCTGCACTGGGCTCCTTTTTATTTATTGTTTTGCTCTCAACTGGTCCCATGTCTTCTGAGCACTTCAGCTGAGGGAAAACACACCACCCTGACCCTCTTGGGCTCTTCTGGAGGCTTTCCTCAAACTGTCCTAGAGGCTGAGAGCTTTTGGAAAAGGGACTTTATGTTCTGCAAAGGGAAGGTCCTTAGTTTCTAAGCTCTCTTGTGAAAATCTGCCCCACTTGGACAACTTAAAAACCTGCATGGGAGGAAAAAAAATCACCATTCCGGTTGTCCCATGGAGTGATGCAGAGGTTAAGGTGATCACCCTTCAGCTGGGCATCCATGGACCTCCATATGCTGTGGAGATATGTCCTGACCCTGCCCTTCAAGTGACCATTGACCTGCTCAGGGTGGCAAAGAGAGATCAGGACCATCCCTGCCACTGGGAGAAGCTGGGAGGCTGGAGAGCACAGAGCCTTTTTCTTCTGCATTCTCACCTCCCCCAGGTAGAAACCAAGTCAGCATGGAGGAGGAAACCAAACCAGGAGGAAGGAAAGAAATAGATGAAGACAAGGTGCCTACTGAGACTGCCCACATCTGGCTGGACCAAAGGGAGGAGCTGGGACTTGGGGAGGAGGGGTCTGCTGGCAAGGGGGAGAAGATGCTGAACCCAGAAGCCAGTGAAGGAAATGGGAGGGACTGGGAGCTCTGGTGTGAGACAGAAGG